CCCGGCCCCCCCGCGGCGGGACGCTGCTGCCCCCGGAGCCCCGCGGCGCCTCGGCGGGCCGGGCGCTTTCGGTCGGGAGAGTTTTGAAAAGAATAAGAAAGGAGCTTAAGCCTGTAGGGGGGAGTCACAGGAAATAACACAAATATTTGTATAGAAATAGTAGGCTCTTGGCTGTTGTTCCGATCTGGAAATTATTAAAGGGTGAAGACAAACATCTGCCATCAATTAGCAAAGAGGGGGAATAACAAAAACTCCACTGTGTCACTTGAAATCTTCGCACTGGTGTGCTTTTCCGCCGTGATTTGTGAAGGCCGGTGTGTTTGCATCTGCCGAAGCCTTACAAAGCCTCGGCTTCAGCCGACAAAAGAGACTGCGGGCACGGAGCTTTTTTGGGAGCCTCAAATAGGATTTAAGGATCTCTGGGTCTGAGGCCCTCAGTCTGCACGTAATTAGCTGGCTGCTAAACAGTGTCACGGGGCGGAAAGCGCCAAGGGAGCTCTCTGCTAGCAGCAGAACCACCCTGGCATTGGGAGCAGGGGGCAGGAAAAGCGCTTCGTCCTCCTGAGAGTGGGGCTGCCCCTTCCCTATTGCTTCACACCGAGGTACCTGCTGCAAACCCTGCTGCTGCTTAAAAGCCAGGCTTCCCGCTTTCAGAGGCCTTCAGCCTGGACAGTAAAAAAGCCCTCACAGCATCCTATGGAAGTGAAGGGATGGTGCAGGTCTGGGGGCATGGAGGGAGCAGGGTGGCTCGGGTCACCGTCTCGGGGCAGAGTGTCCTCCCAGTGCTGGGTACGGCGGCTGCTGCCGCGGAGGGGCAGCGGGTTGTTTTGCAGAATCGTGATCGCAGACTGGAGACCAGTCTGGCCTCAGCTGCTGGGCACGGGATCGGTCGCTCTTGTGTGAAGAAAGGACGAGCGACAGCAGGGAGGTGGTTCTCAGGCAGACAAGGTAGCGCTGTGAAATGTGGAGCCTGCTGCTGGCCGCTGTGGACGACGGACCCGCGAGCGCGGTTCTGCCCCCGTGGCACGGGAGCCCTTGGCAGCTGGGCTTGTCCTCACAGAGCCGAGGGCTCCCGTGGCGCGCGGGGTCCGACGGGTGCTGTGCTCTGGCGGAAGGCGGTTTTCACCCCTCTCTTTTCGACGCAGAGTGCCCGGAGGGGACGTTCGGGGCGGGCTGCCGGCAGCCCTGCTCCTGCGGCGGAGCGCCCTGCGACCGGAGCACGGGGCAGTGCCTCTGCCTGCCAGGCTGGACGGGACGCGACTGCGGCCAAGGTGAGGAGGCAACAGCAGCAAATGCGCCGAGGTAGGGGTTGAGGCGTATAGCTGTTCTTTTTCTTTTGCTAAAATTAGTTTTGAAAACGTCTAGCGCAATTAGAATCACCCTCATGGAAAATTATAAAAAAAAAATGTCACTTTTGATGGTAAGTCTTCAACAATAGCCTCAGCTAGCTTACCTCTGTTGCTGAAGCTGAGTACAAGGCAGCAAACACATATTGCAATAAGGTGAAGATAATTTTAGTTCTTGCAGCCCTTAACGTGGATAAAAGGAGTCTTCCTTTACCGATGTGCACTTTTAATTGCCTTCGCCATATTACCCTTGAACTACTGGAAAACTAGAGAGTCCTAATTAAAAACTTTCATGTGATTATACAGTCTTACAGCAGCTGGAATACATTAGTCATACAGAGACGTCCCGCTCCTAATAGTCTGAGCAATAAAACCACACAGGCACAGTGCTTACCATACCTTT